ATGCTAAATGATTAATTTATGCATTTCAAATGATATATATATATATACCAAGACTATGTGGTCTAATGGTACCCGGGTTGGACTTTCATTTGGAAGGTTACAAGTTCAAGCCCCTCAGTGGATGCGTTATTGGTTCTTTGTGTTTCAGTAGCCATTACATTATAAATAAACGAACTACTTTATGCTAAATGATTAATTTATGCATTTCAAATGATATATATATATATACCAAGACTATGTGGTCTAATGGTACCCGGGTTGGACTTTCATTTGGAAGGTTACAAGTTCAAGCCCCTCAGTGGATGCGTTATTGGTTCTTTGTGTTTCAGTAGGTTGAGAAAGTATATGAACAGATATTACAATGTAATAGGGCCACTAACATTCAAAAAAAAAAAATGATATATATATATATATATATATTTTTAAAAACGGTTTATGTTAAGTCTTTATTACTCATGATTTATATTTAACATGTAATTAATTATTTTTCTGTCATACTCCAAAGTAACCAAATTCATGTTCATTAAACATTTAACAGAATATTTATAACCCATAAGCTAATCCTTATTTAACATTTAGGGTATGTTTGGTTCAAAATCATAATTAGTGTTTGATTGTCAACTTTTTAGAATACAACTATAGGATTTGATTACCCCTAATTAAAAAATCTCATTTTCCTAATTAAAAATGAGTATGATTCAATCTTATTGCTAATATATGATTTTTTAAGTTTAGATTTATGCTTTTAGATATTTTTTTGGGAAAAGGGTCAAATAGGCCCTCGAACTTTAACTTAAAAGTCAATTAGGCCCCTAAACTTTTTAAGGGTGCAATTACACCCATCAACAATTCATTTAGGTGCAATGAAGCCCAAAAACAAGTTAATGACCTGTTATCACAGGTCATTAGGGTTCAGGCCACCTTCCGGCGAATTTTCCGATAAAAAAAAGTTACCAGCAACCCACCCAGATTTGTTGAAAATTTCGCCGGTCACTTCTTTTGTCGAAAATTTCTCCGATCACTTTTTTTTTTTGCCGGAAAATTCGCCTGAAGGTGGCCTGAACCCTAATGACCTGTGATAGCAGGTCATTAATTTGTTTTTGGGCTTCATTGCACTTAAATAAATTGTTGATGGGTGTAATTGCACCTTTAAAGAGTTTAGGGGCCTAATTGACTTTTAAGCTAATGTTCGAGGGCCTATTTGATCATTTTCCCTATTTTTAAAATTTTTTTTTTTTGTTCATATTGGTGCTCTGGATGTCACTAAATTAGGATCAATTATCATGATTTTTTATATTTTGTATTTTTAAATTTTTTATTCTCATTCAAGCCTAGTCTTATCATTTTATAAGTTCGGGGTATGATGAAAAAATTAGGCCCTATTAAAGTTAACATATACTTTTATACCTAAGATTTAAATTACATAAGAAAAAAAAAATACTAATATCAAATAATTTGAAATAAGATTCACAAGTTCTAAAAAGAATTTACATACACAACAATAATAATCATGAAAAAAAATTATAGATGTTTTTCTAAATGTAAAATAATTAATAACAACACTAGTGCCTTCATAAATAAATAATTATAAATTATAAAAAAATAATTTAAAATTAAATAAGCTTACAAACAATAACATTGTTATCATAATAAATAATAAATTAATTATTAATAAAAATTTATAAAACAAAATTTTAAAAAAAATGAAGGAGCTAAAAACTTTTTGACTAGAGGCGAGAAATTAAAATATTTTAAAACGCGATAAAAAATATTCATTACAAAATATGAAACATAATTAATTGAATAAAATGGTTTGTATAGAAAATACAGTATAAATGGATAGTCATAGGTTTGAACCCTAGTGGTAGGAGCTTAGATTCGTTGGGCAAAAACGCTAAAAACTTATTATAACGCTCACAAAAAAATACATGTTATAAATATGAATATATGGGAAATTTATTTCTAAGTACCAATAATTTATTTCTAAAATACATGACCGTTGTAATGAAAATCGTCTAATTTACCAACTAAGCTATATCATATTTCATTTAAACTTGCATATAGAGAAAATTTCAATTTTGGTCCATTGACTATTGGAGTTGTGTTAATTGCAACACTTGACTTTCAAAAATGTTAATTTAGTACTTTGACTATGCAATTTCTATCAATTTTGGTCACGCCGGCCAAATTGCCGGCCAAATCTCACCGGATAAATGTAATAGGTCAAATAATGAGGATAATTTAGTCATTTTACTCATTTTCTCTTTCTTCTCAGGTTCTCCATTACCGGCGACGATGAGTAAATTAAAGATGAGCTTTGGAGAAAGAAAATATGAGTAAATTAAATTGGTTTAGTAACTACAGATCCTGTCATTGCTCGTCTAGCAGAAATCTTGACGAAAATGAAGAGAACTCTCGCTTTTTCCTTCTTCTTCCTTTTATTGATTTTCACCTCCGAATCGCAGCGATCTCCGCCGGCAGTATGCATACTAGGCAGTGGGATCAGCTACTCCACCGTCGCGCATTTCCTTCGCTCCTATTCCAATCCATCCCAACCCGAAAATCAGCTCCATAAGAATCTTTGAGTGCCATGTTGTCGGCGGCGGCCGCATGGCCACGGTCACCATCGCAGGGATACCTTCGAGACCGGCGGCTCAATTCATCACCCGAAGAACTACCACGCTAGCAACTTCACTAACTTCCTGAATCTCAACGTCAAAACCTCATCATCCGAATCCGATTCCTCGTTTGGCATCTGGGACGGTAATAAATTCATCTTCAAAATCCTGTCTTCAAACTCCAAGCTTCCGATTTGAGAAAATGCTTAAGTGGTAGGGGCTCTATAATTTGACTAGACGGACTCAATATGCTTTAATTTTCTAATGACAGCGCTGTGGGTATGAAAAGATGAGTAAATGAAGAGAAGCTCATTGGAGAATTGAAGAAATCGTCGCCTGGAGAGTAGCTCATCGGAGAAGAAAGGATTGGTGAGTAAAATGACTAAAATACCCTTATTATTTAACCTCTTAAATTTTTTCTGGTGAGATTTGGCCGGCGTGACCAAAATTGATAGAAATTGCATAGTCAAGGTACTAAATTAATATTTTTGAAAGTCAAGTGTTGCAATTAACACAACCCCAATAGTCAGTGGACAAAAATTGAAATTTTCTCCTTGCATATATATTATTTACTTATACTTATACATACTATATACACATACATAGGGAGCGTTATGGAGCATTATGCCATGGAATGTGAACACGGTTCCAACGGTGTTAGTACACCGACCACCGTTATCTTCTTCTTCTTCTTTTTTTTTTTCTTAATTAATTGCGTGACTTTTCTTCTTCATTTTCACATTTTGCAGTTTCACTTTAATTTGAGGTGAACAATGATTTCGGACATTCATAAATTATGAATTCATGCCTGCACATTCACTTTGGAACCATGCCTACACATTCCCGTCCGAAATCACGGACATTCATAATTATGAATCCATGCATGCACATTCACTTAGGAACCATGCCTACACATTCACTTTGGAACCATGAGATTATGAATTTTCTGTTATAAGATTATGAATTTTCAGTTATGAGATTATGAATTTTCTGTTATGAGATTATGAATTTTCTGTTATGCGATTATAAATTTTCTATTATGCGATTATGAATTTTGTGTTATGCGATTATGAATTTTCTGTTATGCGATTATGAATTTTATATTCTCATAACAGAAAATTCATAATTTGATCAACGCGTGCCGTTAACTCCACATCCGCGAATTTTTTTTTTTTTTTGCCTAAAAACGACGTCGTTTGGCCGTGTGTTCACCATTCTCGGTGAACACGTTTCCAGGGCATAATTTGCCGGAGCGTTATGCCCTGGACCCGTGTCCACCATGGTGGACACGAGACACATTCATAATTTCTATAATGTAGATCCATAATTTCTATATTGTAGATTCATAATTTCTAAACTGTAGATTTATAAAATTTATAATATAGATTCATAATTTCTATACTGCACATTCATAATTTCTGTACTGTAGATTCATAATTTCTATACTGCACATTCATAATTTCCGTACTGTAGATTCATAATTTATATACAGTAGATTTATAATTTTTATGCTATAGATTCATAAAATTTATAACGTAGATTCATAATTTTCATATTGCACATTCACAATTTTTGTACTGTAGATTCATAATTTGATAACTATACAGTTTAGAAATTATGAATCTACATTACAGAAATTATGAATCTACAGTACAGAAATTATAAATGTGCAGTATAGAAATTATGAATCTACATTATAAATTTTATGAATCTACAGTTTATAAATTATGAATCTACAATATAGAAATTATGATTCTACAGTATAGAAATTATGAATGTACAGCGTGTCCACCATGTACATACTGGACACGGGTCTATAGCATAATTTGCCTATACATAAGGAGTGGGGTGGGACCCCTCCCAGTATGGACCAAGCCTGCCCTTATCCAGAACCGGGCCCAATCTGCACTTGCGTAGAGCCGGGCTTGAGTACATAAGATGATCCATTCACTCAAACTCCTCAAACAATCAAATATACTAATGGTTACAACTTTTTGGTATCACTAATCTCATGTTCCTTACTTGCTTTACGAATACGAAGTATATAATAACATCCTACAATGCAGAAACTGCTACTTTAGAGCTAATTGAGTAATTATTTTTCATACCAACTACATAAATGACTAACCTTGCATGAGTAATATATTTTCCTTACATGAGAAATTTTAAATCCATATATACTTAAATATTCACATTGAATTCATTCAGTGAACGTTGGGATCTCTTTGAGTGCATCTAAGTCTCCCAAAACAATACTCTTCTGTCTTCTTTTGAAAGCAAACTGGTTGCAGATGGCATATCGAGTTATCAAAACATAACTAGTAATAGATGGCATATCAATATTTAGTATTAAACTAATTTGTGAAGGTGAATAACATAATAGTTGAGATGGCTGAGTCGGTCTAAGGTGTCAGATTAAGGTTCTGGTCCTAAAGGGCGTGGGTTTAAATCCCACTCTCAACATCTAGACCCTATACTAAATATACACGAACCACTTTATGCTAAATGATTCATTTGTGCATTTTAAAAAAAAAGTTTATCTTAATTCTTTATTACTCATGATTTATATTTAACATGTAAATAATTACTTATTCTGTCGTACTCCAAAGTAACCAAATTCATGTCATTAAACATTTAACCGAATATTTATAACCCATAAGCTAATCCTAATTTATCATTTAGAGTGCGTTTGGTTCATGGGTTTATACATTAGGAATGAGAATCAAATTCATAGTTAGTATTTGATTGACAATTTTTTAGAACACAACTATGGAATTTGATTATCCCGGCTCAATTAATTAAAAACGAGTATCATTCCATCTTATTGGTAATCTAATTTTTAAGTTTGGATTAGTGCTTTTAGATTTTTGTTTTTTTTTTGTTTTTGTTTTTGTTTTTTTTTTTTTTTTTTGTTTTTGTTTTTGTTTTTTTTTTTGTTTTTGTTTATATGGGTGCTTTTAATGTCATATATTATGATCAATTGCTTTGATTTTTTGTATGAACAAATTGCACTTTTGGTCCTGTGATTATTGGGTGTTGGTAATTTGAGTACTTAAGTTTCAAAACTCGCAATTTAGTCCTTTAACTATGCAATTATTAACAGATTTGATCTTGCCGGGCAAATCGCCTGCTAATTTTCACCGGAAAAATGTTACTGCGTTTGAATTTTTTTTTTGGTGAGGGTAAAACGGTCATTGCAAGGGAAAAAAGGGGAGGAGGGAGGGGGGGGGGGGGGGGGGGGAGTGCAATTGGGGGAAGACCGTTCCATGCGATTTCTGTAACAACCAGTCTGCGGTGCTCTACTGCCGAGCCGACGCCGCGAAGCTCTACCTCTTTTGCGACCAGCACGTGCACGCCGCCAACGCGCTATCCCAGAAGCATATCCGATCGCAGATCTGCGATAACTGTGGCGCCGAGTCCGTCGCCGTCCGCTGTTCCACGGAGAAACTCGTCCCGCGACAGCATGAAGACGACCGGATCACAAAACACAGCTAAAGATAGAGTATTAAGAACTAATTAAAACTATTTGAAAAAAAAAAAAAAGAAATAATTAAAACAGGAGGTTAGCGTGACGTCTCTCCTAAGGGTCACAAATTAAAACCCCAATACTACCATCGCTATTTTTTCTTCAGAGGGAAAACTTGAGAGGAAAAGCAGGAATCTTGAGGACAATACACTGAAAAAAAAAGAGTTTTTTATTTTTATTTTTATTTTTGGTAGTCCAAATTAAGTTTATAGCTATAAAGATTTTTAATTTTGGTGTTTATTTTGCTTGGGTTTTGTTTTCCCTTTGAATGAAGGTGGGATTCCGGTGGGTTGTCTGGGTTTTGCTTTTCCGCGGACGCAGGAAGAAGAAGAAGAAGAAATGGCTTTAAATGACCATTTTACTCTTATGAATAAAAAATTTTAAAGGAATTACACTTTTCTGGTAATATTTGGCCGGAGATTTGACCGGTAGGACCAAATCTGTTAACAATTGCATAGTTAAAGGACTAAATTGCGAGTTTTGAAAGTCAAGTACTCAAATTATTAACACCCCAATAGTTACAGGACCAAAAGTTCAATTTGTTCTTTTTTGTATTTTTAAAATTTTTATTCCCATTATAGGGTCATATATAACCAAACATCAATATTGACAATAAATCCAATTCCACCATACTACCAAACATGCAAAATACTTCCACCAAAACTCATTACCATTACGAAATATTTGATTCTCATTTCAATTCCAATTTTCATATGCGAACCAAACACACCCTTAATTAATTATTTGAGAAGTGAACGCAGAATATTTATAGCCCACAAGCTAATTCATATTTAACATTTAGTTAATTATTTGAAAAGTGAACATCGTACCACTCAGTTTCGGGTTGGCATGTGAAGTTCGATTTAGGGTCCATTTGAAACTTTAAAAAAATATAGAAAGAAATTGTGATTTTGATTAGGGTCTAGTATTTATGGTTTAGATTTAAAATTTAACTTTTTCATTGATTTTTTAACTTTTATCTAGGTTTGCAATTTTTTTTTTTTTGAACTACTCATTATTCTTTACAAGGTAGTATCTTTTTTTTATACTTTCTCAACCATTTTCAACCCAAAAAATCTAAGCCCCACCAATAGGTTTGCATATTTAAGTGTTACATATTGCATATTTAATTTTCAAGTTTTCAAAGTGAAGTTAATGATAATTATGTAAATGCCACCGCGATTTTTTTTAAAAAATCTAATATGATCCGCTAAAATTTCTCCAATAGTTTATTCGTATATTTAGATTGGTGTATGAAAATTCCTTCAGGGAGATGCTCAATCTACCCGCCGAGACCGAACTTGGTTTTTCCCAAGTCTTTCATTTCAAATTCTTCCTTTAAACACAAGCATTACCTTTTGACATCTTTGTGTGTTCTAATAATGTTTATACCATCAACATAGGTGGATATTATACAAAAATCATCAGATGATTTCTTAATAAAGATGCAAGGACTGATATTTTTATTCTCATATCCTTGTTTTACGAGGAATTCACTCAATCAACAGAATCACACTCGGGTACTTTCATACATACATACATACATATATATATATATATATATATATATATATATATATATATATATATATATATATATATATATAAAAGTGTCTAGTGACAGTCACAACATCAATTAACTGCATATTTGAGTTCATTTTTACTTCCAGTGATATTAGATAGCGGATCGAGGTGCCATCAAGAACAGTAGAGTAAGTTTGTTCAAAATCTATCCCGGATCTTTGAGAGAACCCTTGAACTAACAATCTCGCTTTAGATCTGACCACCTCATTATTTTCATTTCTCTTTCGTACAAACACCCATTTGGATCCTACTAAGATCATATCTTTTGGGGTTAGTACGGAAGAACCAATGACTTTCATTCTGTTAAGCGAGTTTAGCTCAGCCTCAATTGCCTCTTTCCATTTCAACCAGTCAGAGCGCTTCCGATACTCTGCTATAGTTTTTGGTTTTAGACCCAGATTATCTAATGAAATGTTAAAAGCAATTATATAGGCAAAATGATCGTCAACGATTGTTAAGTTTCTATTATAATTTTCTCCTGTTTGTAAAAAATTTATGGTAGTTTCAATGTTTACATCAACCAAATTTTTATCATTTGTCAATATATCTTGATAAAGATGTTCCGCATTCCATTATTGGTTTTAGTTAAAGGACGTGCATTTTTACTGAGTTCTCCGTCTTCAAGATGGCCATTTAAAGTTTTCTGGAGTGACTATGATTGTTTACTAATTTTGATTTACCGCGAATTAAGTTAAATCTTTTGCACCGATTGGTCTTCCACGCTTCTGGCGATGAGGAGTATCGGTGTCAGTACTTCGTCCTTTGGGGGTAATTATTCTCGACGGAACATTTCCGGTAGGAATATAGGACCTAGTCACTCATTTATTATAATCAGTAAGCGCATCTTGTAGATTATTTGCTAATTTTTGCAAATTTATTATTTTCTGAACTTCAAGTTTAGTCTGGCTAGTACGCGGATCAAGGTATTGAAGATCTTTGTCATCCCTTGAAATTTTCTGGCATTTCATTAAAGTTGGGTTTTTATCTCCCCTAATGCTAGAAAATGATCATCATCAAAGATACAATCAGCATACCTAGCGGTGAACTGATCTGTTGTCATGGGCCAAGGTATTTAATGATGGATGTGTATACAAATCCAATATATATATATATATATATATATATATATATATATATATATATATATATATATATATATATATATCTCCGGATCCCATGAGGTTACTTAGATGGATGAGATAATGAGATCTCATCATATCCATTAGATCATTGCATATTAAAGGGTGAGATTGATAGAGATATGTTATGCATTTAAGGTAGTAGTCTATGCATAAGGATGAATAAGTAATTGTAATATAGGAGCTATTTATGGTTACAAATAAATTGGAATATATTCCATGCTAAGCATCAATTGATTATGGGATTGGATTATATATTAACGGTAATATATTACTATTGATATTCTGGTGAGTCCTGAACTTAAGCATTCCCCAATCAGACTCAAAGTGCAGCGGTTGTTTCGCATCTGTTGGGTAATATGGTTGTAAAATCCCAAAATAATAATAATCCTACGGAAAGATTAATATTATATGGGAAAACAGAAAATTGGGAAGGAAAAGGTTGAGTGTTTGGGTATAGGTTTAGCACGAGTTCGAACACAAGGTTCTTTTCCTTAAAACTTTATTTGCTACCTCCCACAAGTGCTAGGAGCGTTGTAGCCTAGGTTTCCCAGGATAAAACGTGCTACGATTCCTTGTTTAAGCACCTAAACAAGGAACCCGGCAAACAAAGCAAAGCTGGAACACTGGTTGGCTAAAAGAAGAAAGTAGAGGCAGAGTTTTGAGATGAAAAGCTACTGGAATTCCTTTTGTTTCTCACTTTTTTTAAAATGCTACTGCTCTACCTCTCTTTATATAGGGCTGTTGGAAGGGATATCATTCAACATGGCTTTTAATTGGTATTAAACCAATTGTATAACACATGTAACGGTCACCCACTAAGTAGGATTAAACTCAGATTTAAAATTGGAATTAAAACAGTATTAATTCCGTAACAGATGAGTTTAATCTGTACAACAGGCTGAACTTTCGGGTTTCAGACCGTTGGGGTGCAGGTTCACACGAGAGCACACAGACCAGCAACACGAGAGCACACAGACCAGCAACACGAGAGTACATCTCTCGTGTGCACCACTCTCGTGGTCACAGAATGCACGAGAGTTGTGCTCTCGGTGCACCACAGCCTCTCTTGCTCCTCTGTAGCACGAGAGTAGGTCACAGATGCACGAGAGTAGGTCACAGATGCACGAGAGTTGTACTCTCGGTGCACCATAACCTCTCTTGCTCCTCTGTAGCACGAGAGTAGGTGCTCTCGGTTCGGTTCCGGCCGAACC